GCCATGGACCTATGCGCCCTCCCTTACCTAGGCTTTGGCGAGGTGAACTGATTAAAATGGACGTCTTCACTGGGAAAGCGTGTTGCAGTGGCAGCTGGTAGCCCTGCAGCAGCGCTATTCAATGTACATGGCTCCACTTTTCGCGAGGGATTATAACTATTTTCCGTCGGCTGCCATGTCGTGGTCATTACGTTACGAGCCGCCAGGTCGCATTTAGCAATGCGCCGTTATGGATGTGATGCAGGTAAAACGGTTACGTCTGCTGGCAACCGAATTGTGTCGCCCGCTGATAGTACACTCACGTTGATACCGTGCACGCGTGCGCACCTGCGGGCACGATAATATTTTGAGTAAGCAATTAATTTTAACTGGCCGCCGAAACTCTGCAAATCGCAACTGCGGCCGGCCCGTCGACTTTGAGGGATAGTGCTATGCTATGGGATAGGGGAGGGATGATGGATACTAGGGTGTCGAGCAAACACAATGAATGCCTTCATCGGCCAAGCGGTTGCAGTGCCAGCTGGTAGCTCTGCGAAACTGCTATGGAATGCACACGGTCGCACTCTGCGCGCGATTGTAAGTGTTTTCTGGGGCTCTCGTGTGCTTGTCATCGCGTTACGGGCAGGCCGGAAGCATCTCTTAATGTTCCCTTGGGTCACATGCACAAAAAACGTTGTCGGCCGATGAACGACTCACATCGCTGGCTGATAGTTCTCATACAGTGATATCGTGTGCACACGGTCGCTGCTGCTGTGTCCGACAAGCATTTTTATTGTAGTTATTATTTTTATTGTATGCTATATTCATACCTTATGTATGTCGAAAAGGGTGTGTGATCAGTAACAAAACCAAGTGAGACAAATAAATTATTTGGCGCTGGAGTCCAAAAGTACACAACCTAGGAGAAGTTCTTCCCAAAGACTTAAAATCGTGAGGCGCGAGTCGATCGAAATATCGCCGTAAGCCGACGCCCGGCGTTGCAGTCACCCGGTGCTGGGCGGCGTCCGCCGCCGCAGGTAACATCAAGCCGTGGGCGGCAACCGACACAAAATACCTTTGCGTATATAAACGATGCTACCGAGCGCTCCTCAAGCCGTCGTGCGAGAATGTCCCGGCCTAAGGTCCAATATTTGGACCAGACATTGCCCGCTTGATTGCCATTTGGCGGAAACTTTATGTGCTACTGAGTATATACTCGTTGTACGAATATGCTTGTCAGTATTGCTTTAGACTTTCACTTCTCTAAGACAACTCATGTGATTCAAACAAAACTACGTATAGGATATGACTCAGAATGTATTGTCTTGTCTAGTGTACAACTTAACATATACACCAAGTTCTGCAGCCTGTACCACGGACGTAAAGGGGGGGGGGGGGCAGGGTGACCCCATGCACATCTTGCCCCTTGCCGAGTCTGTATATTCGATGCACCGGCCCAAATAGCAACTGCTCACAGACTGGAGCCAAAAACGCGTGTTGGCAAAGATCGCACGGTAGCAGAAATACCGTCGCAGCTGTGCTTCACATATTGCCGAAGCGACAGCTCCAGCCACAGACGTCCTCGGCAGTGCGGCGCTGCGTCTCACTCCTAGTGTGAACCAGATAGGGCAAGGTGGCCAGCGGTACCTGCACTTTGTTTCGCAGCTCGCAGTCGCTGAGGTCTCGCAGTGGAGGCTGTGTGACTGGTCCGTGCCAGGAAATCTGTTCGGTGTACCTCACGGCCTCGAGGTTTACTACTGAGATGACGAAGACCCTGGGCTGAAGAAGACCCTCGGTTTCCTGCTCACGAGCGGCGCGATGATCGGAACCACCTGCACCGTGGCCTTTGTGGCTGCGGCAGGCCGCGGAGCAGCGCAATGCTCCGGAACAAGTTGCTTTAGCGAAAGTCGCAGCTGCTGTTCTGCCAGATGGCGGGCCATACCGGCACGTATTGGCTGACCACGCACTGGACGAGGTCTTTGAGAGCGCTGTTGGAGGTCTTGGTAGAGATGTAAACTACAGGTGAGCGGCCAGTGTCAATCACCTGAAAACAAAAGCGAATCTATCAGAACAACTTGCTACGAACTGAGCATTAGATCATACAAAAATTATTGCGCCTCTTGAGTGTATGTAATTATATCGATACCCAGAGTCCTTCAATGTGCGGAATGCATATCAGCAAACATGCCAGTAGGCATGAACCAACCAGCAAGTGATATGCATACTACGGCACAAAGTATGAAAATACGAAAATGATCAGCAGTGAGCACATTAAATATCGATTGATACTTGACGAAGTTTAAACACTCATTGCTATAAATTCGAAGAAAATGCGTTTTCATATTTACCTGACATGGTTCAATGGTCCGATTCGTCGCTGGGGTGCCACGTTTCGGACGGAGATGTTTTGAATGCCGGAGGCCAGAAGGTACAGTAGCTATTGGTTGGTGTCCAGCTGCTGAATCAGGTCGAAGCTCAGCAGCAGACGGAGAAGCTTCAGCACGTTACCGTGCAGCTGGCAGATGAACCAGCGTATGGGTGACTGGGTGGCCAGCTCAAACATCCGGAACACGTCGCCTATCGTTTCGGTTTTGACGGTCGTGCCATCGGAGGCGAGCAAATTGATGTGACCGTCGCACTGCGGATTCACGGAGTGTAGCTCGTTGAACAAGTACAAGGCGCGGCCGAACTCGGACGTAAAATGAGTCACGTAGCGGCTGTCTGGGACGACAACCACGTGTTTTTCGACGGCATTCATCTGGCTCTGTGTGCCTCATGTAGCTTCTGCCTTCACGGCCGTCGGATTAGATGATGTCAAACCTGACTCGTGGATTGCTTCAAAATTTTAACGAGAAGCATCCTTTCTCGCTCTGTCTCTTGCGCAGCTGATCTTCTTCAAGTAGCCAGTCCGTCTCTGCTGCCTTGTTGAAAGGCATTGATGATAGCAGCAGCGGCCCGGTTCGAGCCACCGTAGCTGCCAATCACTAGAGCGGTGTTAGTCAGATCGTTAACGTTATAATCGACAGTGACAGTGGTCTCAACCGGAACAAACAATCGGCGTCGTCGCCACCTTCTACCATGTACGAAGCCGTGTAAGAATCCGCACTCCCGGCTGACTCGCCAGCGCTGAGACCACTTGGTCTCGGAACAGGCTCGGGTCAGCACTGGCAGCCAGCGCTGGTTCAGCAGGCGGCGCGGGCTCAGCAGTCGGCGGGGAAGGCGACTCAGGTTCAGCAGCTGACACCGCCTCACTGGCGGCCGAGCCACGACGCCCCTGGAGCTGTCTGACCACCCTCCGCACCTCGCGAGTCTCCCTAACCACAATCGTATCCCGGCCATATGACCCCAGGGTAAGCTTGCGGTGCCTGCACTAGTCGTTCATAGCAACCTCCTCCTGATACACTGTGCAGGTAACTGGGCATGGAAAGTTGCACTGAGGCTTGCACTTGCATTTTGCAAGATCAAGAAGCTTGTTGAAATTCGCGGTGGCAGCGTTGCTGTGTCACCCTATTTTCTTGATTTCTTGCTGACAGCTCTGTTCGGATGATATCAATTCCTCTCAGTCAATTTCGTCACGTACTTTAAATCATGAACAGGGATCGCTTCGTGGCTTCACAGCACCCTGATTTCTACCCCGGCGGTCTTGGAGATAGTATTAGTGAGATTCCTCTTCGATACGCTCAGCCACCTGATGTCGCTCAAGGCTTTCCCGTGGTCGGCAGTTGGTAGTGGGACAGAAGAGCCGGGTGGCCTACCACAAAACGTTTTGTGTGCGACCGTGCACCCTTCGACATGCTTATGCAAGTAATTGTTCGAAAGAAATATTTCAGCACCGGCAAAACTGAACTACTAAACCCATATATACCACGCAAAAGCACATGAATTGCAAATCAGCATCACAATGATGCGTTAGCAATAACAACCTGGAACCTAACCCGGTCTGCTGGAGCACTCCCATAACTGCACAGCTTTGGGTTTACTAAAAATTAATGTTCTTTACTAAAAAGTCAGGTTACAAGCTGTTTGACAGTGTTTTCCTGGTGCCCTTCATCCTATCTATTTCATACTTAATTCACCAAGTACCACTAGTGTGGAAAGTGACAGCTTTGAGACTTGTTGAAGGAAGATCCCAGGGCGTAAAATAGGTGGCGCTAGTATCGAATATGGTTTTATTGACCTATCAAAGAAGAATTGCTCTCGCCTCATGAATATTAACATTGTTGGAGTGCGACAGACCCGAAAGTTTATCATTGATCCGTGTGCCAAGGAAAAACTTTGTCTCAGCTGATTCCAAGAGATCCACCCCCCCGATGACACACCCTAATGTTGAATTCAATATCTACATATAGTATATATTTATTATATTATCTATCTTAAACACATCATTATGTTATTATTATTATCTTCGTTTATATTTGTTTGCATTTCATGCTCTTATGGAAGTTCTATCAACTGGCACGCCTCCTCTGTTATCTGCCGAAGGTAGCTACTTCATCGGCATGACAGCGCAGTACAAACGCGGTCGCCCTGCCAGAGAGATGTTTGCTAAAATTCGAAGCGGCACGGCTTTGTTTCAGAAAGCCCAGTTTATGCTGTGGCTTCACCAGCCTGTACAGCACAGCTACACCCATGATTCTGTGTTCATCTACTCGTTTGAAGCATGTTAATTTGGTTAAATATGCATAATATTATTGACTTTATTGACTATTGACTATATTATTGACTATTGACTTTGTTAATATTGACTAAGTTTCACACTCAAAGGACTCTTTCTGACATCCCCAGCTAATTCAGTTGTATTTGACCCGATAGTCCAGCTCTCCGTACATAGCACACATGTCCTTTTATGTAACAGAAAAGCTAGTAGTATAACGTATCGATTGAAAATTGGCGAGGAAGAGAAAGCGTCACTCAGGCATTATTTTGATTTTCTTAGCTTTTTACCCGCGTTAAGCAGACCCCGCCCACGCTTTGGTCCCGGCCAGGCCTGAGAAACGCCATCACCAACAGCTTACACGGCGTTGAGAACGGAACAGTCCACACTTTTATTGAGACAAAAGCAGCACATACGACACTGTGATTTTGTTTCGATCACTGTGCGCCGGGGCTGCGCACCGCGGCCGCGCTTGACCGTGACACATCCGCCGCTTAGTATTTGTCGCAGTTGGCGCTGGAGTACTGCGTGCACTTGTCGTCGCTCGCCGTCTCCGAGTAACCGTCGCCCTGGTCCAGGCCGGCGCCCGTGATCAGGTTCTTCATGTTGCAGTAGTTGGTGGAGGAGTCCAGCACCGCGTAGATGGTCTCCGAGGTGGAGAAGCCCTGGGGCAGTGGCGGGGGGTGCTGTCGGTGCACGAGCCGACCCGGGCTGGCGCTGGCGCACGTTAACCTTCATTTTTATCCGAGGATGTGGCTATTGTTTGCGTGCCAGAAAGCAAGTGACCAGCTATCAATGGCAAATCACTGTCTCTTTTTCAAAACATAGCCATCATTCATGCTCGGAACTGAACTGTTTTAGCAAGATGCACTTGCGTCCATACTGTTTCATAAAACTAGTGAGTATTAGGTTTATGATGGGACAAAACAAAGTCCCACTAATATCATACATTGGAAACAATAACGGGACAAAATTTTGACATTTTAGGCTCCACCTGTGTTAGTTTTTGTGGCGAAACATTTTACAGGCCAACCCAATTTATCCCGCAAAGAAAATATTTAGACAATATAAGACAAAAGACCTAAACAGCAATTATTTCCTGCAGGAAAGTGCTGGACTTTTAGGCATAGCAGAATATATGAGCTAAACAAATAGCAAGCGACCAAAATACACGGGGGAATATGACACAGACTAATCACCAGGAAGATGAAAAGTGATGCCAGCTTGCCGCAATGCAACACACGTGCTCAGTTCTTATTTGTGTTGACGAATAGCCATAGATAAGACAATAGTAATAGTCTTATTCCTCATTAAAAAAACAACAGGAAAATGGAGATGATATAGATACGTCGATATGTCAGCAACATGCCTTTATTGAAACGAATAACACAAATTCGATTCGTGCTTCTATTATTCGTTTCGATAAAGGCATGTTGCCGAAATATCAACGCACCTAAGTGGCCATTCCTCTGGTTTGTCTACGAGGAATAAGGCTGTTACTGCTGTCTTATCTATGTGCATAATGTTCCTCGGGAATACGGTTAACAACTTACGCGACGACTAGCCGTCGATCCCACAATTTTCATTTCGGACGTATCTTTGGAAGAGCTCTAAACTTCGAAAGTAAGACGCCCCGAGGAGATAGAGCTGTGTTGGGTACGGTGTACACAAAGCACAAGCCCATCATGAGCGATTGGCAGCCGTTGCTCACCTTTCTAAATCCACGGGCATGCCGAAAGGTTAAGGGCAACCAGGCAAAGGTGGTGTTTCGACGTTCGTCTACTTTAACGGAAAGACACGATGAGCGCATTTTTCAGTTGATTTGTATGGAATGGTCGCCGTCATCTTATTAGCACTATATGTCTGCTTCCTCGTCCAGGAATTTTAACAATGAAAACTGACCTGTTCATACTTTATGCGTGAAACATTCCTCTTGCTTCGTGTCCCCATTTTGTTATATACCATGAGACTTGATCCCTAGCCTTCGAGGCATGATGACTCTAGTCTCAGTTTTACGCCCAATTGGTTGACAGGTTTATGTTATTGCATGCAAATGAGCTTACGAGAATAATTTGCATCCCCAGCTTTATTTTCCAAAGCTTCGTTTATGCCCTAAGAAAGCCCTTCTAAAGAGACCTGAATCGTCAGAAGCCCCTAGAAAGCCAAGCGGCAGAGCAGCACGGTAGCCTGAAACTATATATCACGGCAGTGCGAAGGGTGCATCACAACTCAAACCATGCCAGACACCAACCAAGACGGGATTCAGGTCATCGGCCAATTCCTTGCCTCCGAATCAGACCGGGCCAAACCGGGCCGGACCAGATCGAGCCGGACCAGACCGGGCCAGACCGGGCCGGACCAGATCGAGCCGGACCAGACCGGCAGACCGGGCCGGACCAGATCGAGCGGACCAGACGGCCAGACCGGCCGGACCAGATCGAGCCGGACCGGACCAGGCTAAACCAATGGTGACGTCCCCTGCTCCATCGCTCACTTACATGCATGGCACAGGAGCCGTCGGCGGCGTCGGTGAAGGTAAACTCCAGGTCGTCAACGTACTTGTGCACGGGCGTGGTGTGGGTACCTTTCACCACGTTGCCTTCCGTCGACATGTACTGAGAAGCACAGCGGATATTTGTTCACTGGTTGGTTATGCTGTCATCGTATCGTAGTAACATCTGAGTTCATATGTAGCTTTATACTATGCCAATCGAACCAGGATTTGATATACGGTGTGCCAATTCGTTTGATGTTGGCTCAAGGGAAGCGTGTGGTCACCCAGATCGCAGACACACTTCAAGTGCACAATCATGAAACTGATTGATCAGATGCGTCTGTAGGATTGGTACCCAACGAAACCCTGCACCGTTAAAGCTTTTTCGTGCCATCCAATGAAACTCTGGGCCATTAAAGGATGTTCGTGTATTTCTACCCTGTTTAAAGCATGAAACAATAAAGCTTCTCAATAGACACCTCATACCCTACAAGTTTGCACATGTTGCAAGTATTTTAGGGCCATAATAACTTTGTGAAGCTTTGACGCTCGTGCAAGACTCCACTGGTAGGTCATAGCAGTCTCAAACTAGGGAAAATCTGTACTGATATTTTCAAATGTGTTTGCAATATCAAACGACACGCTACAGTGAGGTCAGGTGAAGGAATTGAAGTAGAAGTGCCAATCTTCCCGGTGGTCTTCAGAGCTGAAAACAAAATGTTTCTGATCGAAATTCACGCTTTGCTCTAAAATGGTCTCACGTTTTTTTTTTGTAAGCCCTATCCATTTTAACTCAAGCTATGCTGAAGCGTTATTTCCGAGCCAGGATAAAAAATAAATGAAACACTACCTCAGAAGATGCGGAAACATTTCGGAGCCTAAAATTACCGCCACACCGCAATATCGGCAGCAGATAAAGGCATATCCAATATTTCAACCTCAAAATTTTCATGCCACAAGAAAACGTGGCAGTGTATTAGTTTGCACACAACAGCCACCAGCTTCCTCTAATTCCGGCGACTGGAATGATGTGAACACTGCTTACCATTCTAATTTACCCCTGGCGCGTAACGCCGTGTCCGGCTGCAGCGCCGCCAAGCATGCGAGGGCCGCTTGCGAATCCCCCCAGCGTCGCATGCTCACCTCATACAGACACTTCTCGCCGCCGTTGGCGCAGCCGTCGGGGCCCGCCCAAGCCTTCATCTGGTCCACGATGGCGCCCATGGCGTCGGCGCAGGACTGACCAAACGTCCTGCGAATGGTGGACACGTCACCGGTCGCGAGCTCGAGCCGGACACCAGCTGATGGGGGCACGTCACTGGTCGCGAGCTCGAGCCGGACACCAGCTGACGGGGGCACGTCACTGGTCGCGAGATCGAGCCGGACACCAGCTGATGGGGGCACGTCACTGGTCGCGAGCTCGAGCCGGACACCAGCTGATGGGGGCACGTCACTGGTCGCGAGCTCGAGCCGGACACCAGCTGACGGGGGCACGTCACTGGTCGCGAGATCGAGCCGGACACCAGCTGATGGGGGCACGTCACCGGTCGCGAGCTCGAGCCGGACACCAGCTGACGGGGGCACGTCACTGGTCGCGAGATCGAGCCGGACACCAGCTGATGGGGGCACGCCACCTGCAGCGTGCTTGAGCCGGATACCAGCTGATGGGGACACGTCACCGGTAGCGAGCCCGAGCCGGACACCAGCTGATGGGGAGGGGGGGGGGGGGGGCACATCGCCGGCCGAGAGTTCGAGCCAGACAACAACTGAAGCTGCCGGATAGTCTGCGTTGACGACCGCTGGTGCCACACACAGTTTTAGCATGGATTCCTGCTTCCAGTCCTTAAGAGCAATGATGTGTCCAGGAAAACGGTGACGTAAATATCCAAAGCTATTTAACGCGTGTGATACGAAGTGGATGAACGAAGCCGCTGTCTACAGTGCTTTCAAGGCTATTAACAAGCAGGTAAAGACATAGTGTAAAAATGCGTTTGGCACAGATGACGTAAAAGTTGTACGCGACGCGCTAATATTCTCACTGTTACATAAACACGCGCAGTGCGAATGCAAAGGGCGTCTTGCTGCTGAGTTCTGGAATATAACGTTATGAGCGACAACCAAATGAGCGTTCTCCAAGCTAAACATTTTCATGAGAACAAATATTACTGGCCAGATAGTAGGTTGTACAAGAATAGCGCCCACTTGACTAACACACAGGGTCATCGACGCATGGATTCCCAGGGATTAGGAACCTGTTAGGATTGAAAACATCCCACATAATCAAGAAACGAATTAAGATACGAACGAGATACATGTAACACCCCGGTGAGCTGTCAGCGTCAACAGCTCGTGCAGTCTTTCAAGCGGTATGTGATTTTTATACATTATCCGTGGCCTACGCCTCAGCAGGATCTCCACATCCGCAGGGTCGTTCCACACGCCCGTGCTGCCGGGCTTCGCCAATTACTCACCAATCAGCCTTGCAGGACGCGTGGAGCGGCCCCCTGACCTGCGCTGACGTCGCCACCGACAGCATCACCGCGAACAGCACCGAGAACAACATGGCTGTGTGGCTGTGGAGCTTTTGATGAACAACGGTGCGGATGGAAGTGGCGCTGCCACTTTTAAAGCCGGTTATCGGTTGCGCGCTGTCACTGTGGGCTGTTCCATTTCCCAGCGGTGCTGTGAGAACGCACAGCTCCACGAGCCACAAAGGCGGCCTCTCCCACGACAACTCAGATAGTAAAACAGCCAACTCACAGTGATTGATCGAGCATTTCCTTGTTCCGTTCACACCGGTAATCTAGAAACACTGTGAGATAAGTTCGTGGCCTCTTATGCAGGGGGAGGCTGCAGTTACGTTGTACTCTAATTGAAATGTGCTCGGCAACCACGGAGATCAGGCCTTCGTCGCCTTAGACGATCCGTTTGCTGATAGGATGCCCATACCTGTGGGTCATTTCAGTCGATGTGTTGCATATGACATTGGCTTGCAAACTGTGTGTGAAATGCGGACTGCCCTATGCGGGAAAACATTTTTCACGCCATTATCTTGGGGTCATTCTAAATAAACGGACTGAGTTAATTTCATTCAATTCGCTAATAACATTTACTCTTGTCAATTCTTCATCCATCCCGAGGTCCCTTCCGGATACGCCATTGTTACGCTGGACGAAATACCACTTTCTCTTGTTACGAAATCCCACTTTTTAAGCAGCATTACCTGTTCCATATTAATGTGCAAGCAATGAAACATCCATTTGGCTTCAATTGAATGTTGCGCATTTGAAGATATTGAAACGAGCATCAAATTAAATGGAATAAGCTTACTTTATAACTATTGGCACACTTTGAAATGAAAAGGCTGCTCTAGAGAACATAATGTTTTTATGTATTTCACTCTTTGGAAATTTTAACAACTTAAGTAAATATAGTTACTAAATTTATCAAAATTTCCAAAAACGTGAAATAAATAAAAAACATATCCCTCAATACGTGATTGCTTGCCCGTGTCATCGAAAGTTTGCGTGCCGTTGAAGTGCTGCCAAGCTGGTCGTGCAAAATCGCCACCCTAGCATTCATTTTTAGTACTTGAATCTCCCGAGAGATGACCGCGACAGCGCTGGGGATGTATGCTGAGTCAAATCTCGCTATGTGCTCTTGCTTGGCCCTTTCTCGTGGTGTTAGTGTATAGTCATCCTTGAGTTTAAGGTGTTTACTTGTAGTCACGTACCCGATTATGGCACTTTTTGAGGAGCATATTTATGCAACATAGAATTGTGCTGCCTAGAGCACTCTTTTCCATCTTAAAAGTATGCTTACAGTTATTCATCACACCTAATGCTTACCTCAACCTCTTCAAATGTGAAGCATTCCCTTTAGTGACCTGTTCGATCTGAATATTTTTGGAGGGTGTATAAGCCCCGTGAGAAGCGTTCATTTATTTTGGAGGGTGCTTAAGTCCGCTGCGTAACCGCCCTCCGTTTTGGAGGATGTATAGGCCTGGTACGCAACCACACGTGGGTGTGCAGGTGTGTACGAAACCCAAACAACGACAACAAAAATCAAGTCAGCGATTCGTTGTCACGTGTCTGCAAGTGAATAAAGGCGTCCGCGTCCCAAAGCATGCCCAAGTTGATGCCAGTTTGGTTTAGAACATGGTCGTTTTTGCTGGTCGGCTGAATATCCTAAATTCTGGTACAAATTCTTGATTTCCTACCATGGGTGGCGATTTCTCAAAATGATTGTGGGGGTGGGGTGGGGAGGGAGAGTCTTGGAAGCCGCCATAAGAGGACAGATACGAAAAACTCCTCGGACATAGTCAACTTATGTTCTCGTTTCTGGCTATCCATTGAAAGCATATATATATATATATATATATATATATATATATATATATATATATGTATATATATATATATAAACTATACTTACTAGATATTTCTGTAAGCTCATGTGCGTAGCCACAGCAGTCACGCATAGAAGGCTGGCAGTTTGCATCAGCTTCGTATAAACATACTTGTTTTGTGAAACCGAATGCGGTTTAATTGGCCATCTCTCTCTCTCTCTCCACAGAGAGGACGAGAGAGAGCGAGCTCCTCTAGCTGCTCGCTACCTCAGAGGGAGAGAGCAGGGAGAGAGAGAGGGAGAGAGAGATCTCGCTCATCGCTCTATTCTCTCTATCTCTCCTTCTCGCTCGATCTCTCCTCTCGAGGATCATTCGAGCTATTCTCCTCTCTCTCTCTTATTCTCTCTCTCTCTCTCTCTCTTTTTCTATTATCTATCGATCTCCCTCTCTCTCGTCTCTTCTCTCTCTCTCTCTCTTCTGTCTCTTCTCTCTCTCTCTCTCTCTCTCTCTCTCTCTCTCTCTCTCCTCTCTCTCTCTCTCTCTCTCTCTCTCTCTCTCTCTCTCTCTCGCTCTCTCTCGCTCTCTGTCATGCGAACTGAAAAGTAAAATGTGTGTGCAATTTATCGTTTTGTGCTTCTATAGTTTCTTGGTGTATATATTTATGCATTCATAAGACTAGTGTCCGCAATATATTTGGCATTTTATCCATTTATATAAAGCTTTTCGGCATTCCAAAAGTGCTATCGATGAACCATATGCATTTCAGTTAATGTAAATCAAAAAATTAGCCCTCCTCTACGTATCAGTCCAGAAAATGGTTTTCAATCATACCCCAAAATGCTTCGGCACATGCCCAGATCTTGATAATATCTTTTCCTGCTCACTTCATCAAAGACATATCGAGAGCCAGCTGTAATTCAGGGAGATACTATTCCAAGCTGCTGCACCGTTGCGAAAGAGCGACTCTAACCCGCTTCAGTTCGAATGCATGGCAACTGAAACGACCATGTCAATGTCACGAGCAACGCAGGGTGATTGTAAAAGCGTTTCTCGTTGAGTTGGCTCCTCAGTGACACTGCTTGTCTGGAATGGTTTAATCTTTGTTCAGAATCGAGATGCGAAAGAATTACATAGCATAGCTTTGACCGCGCGAGCTCTCAAGCCTTAGAACAGAGGCCCCGATACCCGGCGTTCCAGCCTCCGCGGGCCGCGTGGCGTCGGTCCTTTTGCTAATGTTAGGTAGTGGTCGGTGAGCGGATGAAGACGGCAACGTTTCTGAAAGAAGCCCCTGTGAACGCTGTAGGATGCCAATTCGTGCGTGAAGAACGCAGTCCAGGGGTTCGTTTCAGCTGCGCAATTTACATATCTATGATGGAGGGGATTGGTGTTCACAACACTGCGAACCGGCGCTGAACTTTAGTTTTGGAACCAGGCAAGTAAGCATAATATCCCTCCTTTCTTGTTGCTGGCGCTTCTTATCTGTTCGGGGGATATCTACAAAGTTTTACATGGGAATTTTTTCCCTAGTCTAATTTTCGCGCCGTGCAAATTCGTTTTGAAAGACTTTCGGAGGCGTTATTTCACGACGGCTGTTCTCGTGCGTACTCGAGACACGTTAAACTTCTGGCGCAGTTCCACAGTATATATATATATATATATATATATATATATATATAATATATATATACATAATTTCCTGAATAGATTGGCTTTGACCTCAGACTACCTGTTTGGGAACCATAGCTTGCCCCTTCTACCTTGAACTGGTAGCTCAATGGCGTAATTCCATTTAAACGGATGATTTTGCCTGCGGTAATCTATCCACACGATACCAAATGCGGAGACATTTTTCAGGTCGTGCAAGACTACGAGACAGCTGCCCTGTGCCAGATTGACGCTCTGATCACTAGCCAGAAGACCACTAGGAAAACAATTTGTCTAGTCATTGTCATTTGTCATTGACATGCAAACGTGCGAAGCATCACATTAACCGTGCGACCGTGCGAAACTCCACATTGACCGTGCCAAGTATCATCCGTCGAAAACTAACGTTTCTGGACTTAAGTAGTGTCTCAGGCAAGGCGACGGAAAATATTCACTTGAAAGGCAAATGACAGTTCATTGCTTTTAAAACAGAACCCCGCCACTTACCTTTGCGTGGTAACGCGTCGACAATAAAGGGTGCTGTAGGACCGTGGTTTGTGACTTTGGCGGTGGCAGCGCTTGTAGTTTAGCTTATAAAAGGGGTGTCCGTCTTTCCTACCCTGGCTGTCTTGCCCCGCTATTACCCTGCGTTAAAGGTTATAAGAAAGAAATAAAAATGTATTTGTTTCATTTCCGTATGAGACCGAGAAAAACAGAAGTAGATAAATACGTACAAAGGATTGAAGTTTTTCTTTCAACATTCATAGCATAGTCAAGTTGCCACAATGCTAACCCTGCAATGTCGACGACCGCAAACTTTTCACGGAAATAAATTGTATATAAAAGGGAAAGCCAAATTAGCTTGTCTGCTATTTATGCAGCCTTGAGCATTTCTAAGAGCTCAAGATGACGGTCGCCACCATCTTGAATGTTATCTAAATATCTGATTTTGATCTGGATGACACAGATGGCCGTGTAATATTTCTTCATGAGGGTTTTCCCGAGTGTCAAGACCATTTTTGGGCTTCTTTTTGGGCTACGGTGTCTAATTTACGCCAAATAAGAGGGAACATATCAGACTTGGAGAAGACCCTTGACGTACAGTGCCGCGACATCTAGAGACACTTAACACAGTAATGTCAGTGTCGCGACATCTAAAGAGACACTTAACACAGTAATGTCAGCCAGCACCCATCACACTCCTCCGCTGCTTTTCATAGTCATCATCACTATGTTCACCTAACTTCCTTTCGCTGTCCTCGACATCCATCGGATTGCTGGTGCAACAGCTAAAACATGCGATTCCTTCCTAACATTTACAGTAGTCTGTACGGCGAGGCCTGCGCTGTGGCTGTTGCAGCTGCAGCGTGCAATACTGCATGCCTTGTTTTCAGCGGCGCAGCTGCAGGTCACTACATCCAGGAGCGTTTTGGGAGTAAGTGCTGCCGTTGAGACGATCGAGATAGCTCTGTAAGCTTCGTCGCTCCAACAAACGTTGGCAGTATCTCCAGCTTCTTTTCTTCGGGGAAGGGGGGGAGGGGGCACGGAGAACCATCTTGTGGAATGGGACTAGGAGTGTAGTGGGCCAGTC